GAAAATAGCGAAAATAGCGTTTTCTACTTGCACGTTGATTTCACGATGTAATTTTCTGGGTAATTTTTGGATGGGCTGTTGCACGTCTGTTTGATTCCAGCTAGGTGCTGTATATCTATCTGTCTATCTATCTATCTATCTATCTATCTATCTCTCTATCTATCTATCTATCTATCTATCTATCCATCTATCTATCTGTCTGTCTATCTATCTATCTATCTATCTATCTGTCTATCTATCTTTCTAGTGATATATCCATCCACTATCTATCTATCTATCTATCTATCTATCTATCTATCTATCTATCTATCTATCTATCTATACACTTAACAAGTGGTTACAGACTGCGGGCCAAGCAAATCACAATATAATCTTTAGACCAGGTCAAACATTCAAGGCATGCGATACACCACGATACTCAATCGAGCCTTTGATCACTGCTATTTCAATAAATTAATGAATATGACTCCGGACTTCCATCTGATAAGTCTCGTCTCTAATTCACTTTCATGGTGAGAAACCGTACTGTTTATAGGAAAGAGAGAATATATGTTTAAGACTACTCGACCTGATCGTTATCAACCATCTTGATTACCTGTAGATTATTATCAATTAAATGAGTTGATTGTAATCCTTTTTCTGATTGATTTTACCAGAAAAATGTAGTTGACGCTGCTTCGGTGAGCAACCCGATACCTCCTTTTTAGTCTGAGGTTGTCTTGTGTTTGTTTGAAGCTGTGGGTTCAACTGAAGTGGTCTTAGAAGCCACTTATTCCTCAGCAACCGTCTGTCCAATTTGGTGAGCTCCTTGATCGATTTGGCCAGATCGAGGTTTTCCTCAAGCAGATCACATGCTACGGGAGAATGTGTTTGCGCTAGGCTGGTACAGACCTCAATTAGCAATTGGTTGGCGGACCCAAATACCTGAACCCATAGGGACCTCGTACACAGTTATACTGTACTACAGATGAATTCTCGAAAGGATTCACATTTGAAGTTTGTGAAGGTATTTATTTTTCCAGAACCTTTATTCCAGATGGAAGTAATCAGTTTCTTGTTCACCGGTATTTGCTAAACTACTGCTTTATAATCTTTTCAATCGTTTCTCTTTTCCAATGGATTTACTTAGTTCGAACACTAACCCAAATACAGGATGAATGTATAGCATCACTTGAAACGTTCTACAATACGCGACTCCAAAGTGAAACGTCATGGTGAAATGTAACTCTGGTGTCGAAGTTAGCTTTTCTGGGCTGCCCTGCATGTTATAACCATCGCTTTCATTAATATAATGCTCATGCCAGGCAGTTTACTCAACTGAAGTCACTATTTAAAATTTAAAATATTTTTCACGGAAATACTTACAAGCGGTTGCCTTTATTGTCCCGTAGGGTTGTGGCAAAACTGAATAGGTCAACCGATGGACGAAACATCAGAATCTCGATAAAGTTTCACTGTTTTACGCGCTGCTCTCGATGTTGAACTTTAAGAAGTAATAATGATGCATCCCGACAGTTGTAGCCGCAAAAACAACATGAGTTTGTGGAGAATATCAAACAGTACACAATTTAAAGGCAAAGGAATGACCCCTGAATTCCATACCTGGTCATTTTCAAGTTAATCCGTCGTAACAGAAAGTGACTCTCACCAATCGCATTCTACTGGGGACTCGACACGGTGATTAGTGCCTCAGTTTTCACACCACCGATTAGACCAGGCTTATCAAGAATAACATCCAGCTGAAGTGGTCTGATATTTTCATTAATAAACAAAAGTACGTTTTGAGTTTGTTTCTCAGCTAGGATGTGGTGGGATTTGATTGTTCTTTTCCCCACCCGAAACCAGGAATGTGATGTTTTTGATCGTTGACCGAGTGAGCTTTATTAGAAAACAAACGAACCCGGCACCATTTAAAGTCGCTGTCAGCTGCGTAAGGAAGTGTCACCATGCACAGGTGTGAATGTTAGAATGGATTGTTGCACAAGTGGATAATTCTATGCTGCACATATCATCAAATAGGTTAATACGATGTTTGCCGAAACGTGCAGTAGATGGAAAAACATAAAGGGCGATCAAACTAAGATCCCAATGATTGCAGTCTTTTCACGTAGGTCTTGAAATGCAGTCTCCTGACCATTTTCGCGACCATTATTTGCGAACATACAAAAATTTTACTATTTCGTCGCAGCCATGAATTCAGCGCTTGAACGGCATACTGAATCTCGGTTCTAATTTTGGGCGAATAACAAAATTGGAAACATCACTGGTTCAGATTGACCAAAGGCTTGTCTTGTAAGGATAAATGTTCCGCTTTGATTTCCGAGTTAACGAAACTCCTGGATACGGATTGGGAGGGAGAAGAGGTCCCAATTGAATGGTATGAATTGATCATCATACCGACTGACAAAAGAAAATCACAGGTTCTCTTGTGAAAACCACAACGTTGCCTCCAAACTTCTCGCTGTGATTATATTCCGTCGATTGTCTGCTGCACGTGAAGAGTGCAAGCGTGAGAACCAGGCCGGATTTAGACTTGGTCGATGTTGTGTCGACCAAATCTTCACTCTTAGTCTAATTAGGAATACAGGCCCTGGGAAAACAGGCGTGAGTGAAGTAATTAAGGAATCCGATGGCACACTGATTCATTAGCAGCAACGCCGTCCTGATCGATGGGCTGAACATTTCGAAGCTCATTTCAATTGCCCCCGCATCGAAATCTGAGCCATAACCCTCTACTTCAAGTGGGCGAATACTGCCAGTTGATGATAGTTCTTCATCTGAAATGGAAAGCGGCTTTTTAATTAGTCGACCGTTCTAAACTCTAGTGCTGCCTTTCCTTCAAGGGTGCCAATTCAGAAATTTATTTCAATGTTATAAACCCCGTGTAACAATAGCGGAAATGATGTCCAAACTTACGGCATTTTTTCGTCCAAGTTCAACACAAAAAGTGGGGTCTGTCAGGGTTGCCTTCTCTCTCTCATTTCCTATTGAATTTCGTCTTAGATTTAATTCTTCAAGCAGTCCTATCCCCTTGCGAGGATAGCGGTATGGTTTTGCTCCAGGTGACAGACTGTTTAATTTAAAGAATGCAGACGATGCTGTGCTGCGAAGTGAAGATCCAGGTAGGTTGCAAGCTTTGCTGGACAGCTTGAATGCCAGAGTGGCCATGTTTGGTATGCATTTTGAGTCTTCAGAAAGTAAAATGATTCTATAAGATTGGGTTGGTCCAACAACCAGATTCACTGTAACTGAGGGAACAATTAGAATAAGCGGATAAGTTTTATTATTTGGGCAGCTAAACCTCATCCACTGGATGAAGTGTCAGCTCGCATACAGACGGCTTGGCTGGTATTTGCCAGCTTGAGATACCCGTGGCGCCGTCGCGACATCCGGCTGTCTATGAAGAGTTGAGTGAATGCTATGGTAGTTCAGCCAGTTCTGCCATACGGCGCAGAAAATGGGTCCTTCAGAAAGCAGGGAAAGATATACTGTCGGTATTTGCAAACCGCCGTCCACCCCGCTGTTGGGGCAACCAGATGAACAGTTCTGTGGTTAGACAAAGAGATGTAAGTGATGGCGGTCACTCACTGGAACGAGTGATCAACCTGCATAGATTACGTTGGTTGGGGCATGTTTTACGCATGTAGCCAAATAGGTTGCCACGGCGAGCGATGTTCGCCGAGACAGGTATTGGTTGGAATAAAGCCAAGGGTGGTCAAGCCAAGAACTGAACGAGGGTATGAAAACTTTAACAAGGAGACTAGGTCACATAGGTCGTGATAGGCATCCTGGATGGTACATTAGAATGATCGAAACCGGTGGTCAGAGACATTGCGTGCTATGGCTGCTTGTCGTAAACAGTGGCGTTCGTGCAACTTCTCAATTTCTCTACAAACATTAGTCCACGAACTCTTTATTTTCTATTCGACTCTACTTCCAGCTCTCCTGTCTTTCTCCTACTACTTTATTCGAATTGGCAACCAAAATACAGCCACCAAACGCGGCGAATAAAAGTGCATCATTATTGGTTCTTCAATATGAACTGAACTGAGAGACTCGTTTCAGTTAACCTACATGTCTTACAGCTACGAACGTTATACTGGAGCAGTTTGTACAGCAACTTATATCGTCCTGAACGACGACTAAAAGATCTTTCTCATTCAAGGAATATGGAGATTGTTGTCATCCGAAGAACAACGGAAACAAAATTTTGTGATCAATGGATATGTCAATGCATTTTAATGTGTTGAATTTGATCGATCGACCATTGACAAGCTACACTAAGTATTCTCTGACCTCTTACCTGCGAGCCGTCAGGTTTCTTGAATTTGTTCTATATTTTTGCACCATTTGCCAACAGTGATGTGAACTGTAATGCCCCTTACCAGAAAATTGTCTCACACTTCCTACACACCCCAAAATCTCCCTCTAATCTGATTAGGCCAGAGTAAGCTTTTGGACCGAACATAGTTCGAGGTTACGTAAGTGTCCTGAATTCTGTGACACTCTGTTTCTGGAATTCTGGTTGATGGGATAAAGGGTCCTCTCTTGGATCTCGTTTGTGTCACTTCTAGTCGATATAATTGGTGTGATTGATATCGATATAATTACACGTCAAAACGCAAATGTGCAAAGACGCCACATCAGTTTGGCTACAGAAATGAAAGCGGTGAAATGCACCCACAACCGTTGCACGCTGGTTTTTGATGTTGCGTCAGGAGCAATTCATTTCTCGCTATAATTATCCCTACCCACGGAGTATTTTACGTTCTCCTTGATCAAAGCTGATGACAGACGCTTAGTAGTCCTGTGAGTTTTGGCTAAGACCAACGAATAGTTAGGCTGTTAGTTACTTGGCCGGGTGATCCACAATATGTTTTCTTCATATTGAAATAAATTTGTACATTGTCTAACTAGCAGAAAAGATCCATGAACAGAATGAAAGTTGTTCGAACTGCTGGACTGGAATGTAAATCAAACTTCAAAAAATTATATTACAGCGATATCTTTCGGTATGGAGGAATTGGATCATGTGCAAAATCCGGAGAGATTGATCTCCTTCGGGGCGTTTGTCAATATTTTGGTCATTCTGGCCTGTCGTCTGTTCATCAGCCCGACGACAACAGACGAGGTTTTATACTTTAAAAGATCGTAAGTTTCATTACTTTTGTCTATACATCTCAGAAACTACGCGCGTTTGCTTAGGTTTTTCCAAGAATATCACTATCTAACTATTCCTTCTTTCAAGCGTCCATTTTGACTACTGAGACTTGAATACGGAAGTAGATGCGTGTCTGCGACCACAAAGATAATCTGGGCGTTACTCGTTCGGATGTCCCAACAGGTATACAAATTGTTGTGTGTACAGTGTGCGCTAGAACATCGATAGTCCGGGTGTTTCATGTGACTATTTTTTTAAAAACAAATATCACGACTATCAATTTTGTTGAGTTTAAACTGTTCTTTTGTTTGACCTATCCAATCATGTTCCAATCCTACTGATATGTTAGTCGATCCTTCTGTTTGTTTAAATGATTCTCATCAAACCTAAAATAATTGGCGATCACTGGGCAATAAGATGAATGGTCCCGGAATTTCCAATGCAAACAGAAGGTTACTGAGTTCACTGAGGTCTGGTGAAACACAAGAGTTTGCTTAAAGGTTCATTTGTATGCAGGAAAGTTATGTTGAAAGAAGACAGGCTTCCTGACCCGAATATCCTCTGATATACCTGTTTCCATTAATCACGTAACTTGATTGTTTGCGAATAAAACTTCGCCATATCAACACAGCCGCACCTTGTCACTTGGTTACATTGTCATGTAAACAACTTAACAACTAACATTGGGCACTGAAGCACGTTAGCATTCAATGCAACAAATGTGACTGGTTATAGTGTTTCAAGTAGGGTTCCAAATCAAATAGCGTGGATCCGGATTCGGACTGAAAACCCACCGAATAGCTCAAACAACCCACATGAACTGTGGATACAGTTAATTCTGTTCGAAAAATTATACAAAGGTATATCCCAAGTATCAAAAAAATCATTGGTCGATTCTTCAATGCCCAAACGACAACGATATGGTCCATAGGTGCACCTTCTTACAATCAGACAATCCGATTGAGACTACTTGAGGATTGGTTGGGAAACCGTTTCCTGATAGGCTACCTGGAAGCTTCAAATTGGGGCGTGCGTATTCTTTGCACGATCACCAAATGTACTTAGGAGGTTAATGTTCACTAATATACTCCGTGTAATTAGAAACTTATTCATTGATGGTTTATCGTGAGATGATAATTATACAACCGTTTAATCAGATGAGTGGCTTCTACAGGGTTGTTAATACTGTGATTCTCCGAATATATCGCACCAATGCAAAGTCGTATTTTCTATTATGTTTCCACTTGTTACCAAACCAAAAACAACCGTATTAGTAATAGTGTAAATCTTGATTATAGTGCCGCCTCGCTCCATATGTCCCAGGTCCTGATACTCAACTGGGATTTGACTGATGTACGGGTTGACGATCAACCATCCAATAGGAAGTGTCGTATTCATTTATTGACGTTTCACCTAGTGTTAGGAAGGTACACAGCAGTCCAAGCGGGTGTCATCTGACATCACAATGTGTACCCACCGATCAATCAGAAAGAAGCGACATATGTAGAAAATGCTGTATCAGACAGGTGTAACTCAGAGCTCTGTAGCAAAATCAAGTGGTATGAATTGCCAAACTTGGATATGCAAGGAGAATCTTTAGAACAATTCACATGGATGGCTTCTGCAGTGTTCTATAGTTGGCTGTTCCAGATGGTTTATCAGGGATACCATATCTTATGTCAAAGCCGCAGCATCCTCGAATATCAAATTACCTTGACTGTCTCCAAACTGTCCTTTAGTATTAGAGCCGATAGAGGAGGTTGTGACTTGGTTTTTCAGATGTCCATTCAGATTAAATTTACTGGAATACGTTCTCTTTGGAAGAAGATGAACAGTCCAACATAAACGCCGAGATGAATATTCATTGACGTGCATCTGGTCACAAAAGCTTGGATACCTGTGTATCCACACATACTGTTCAATGATTTCATAAAAACCTGGGTTTGAACCCACACTGAATCAATGGATATTGCAGAAACCGGATGATAAATGTTATCTGAGCAACTATTCCACGCATTGTTTGTTTACCGATGAGTGGGATTTCGGACAACTCGACTGTTTAGTATTTGATATGAACGGAGTGCTTTAGTTCAACATGGCGTAAGGTATTTCAGTTTTTTGTTTTTAGATAACTTCGCGGCACACATATCGAGCCGCTTTGGGCATTCACTCTGACTGATTTGGAGGGAAAATCAGTTCGTCAACTCGGTCGCACTGATGCAGCTGTGAAAACGTCTGAACGATAATCACCTTTCCTCCCGCCGGTAAGCGGGGTTGTGGAATAAGATATCGGGTTTCAAACGGATAGATAACCGCCAGCACACAGATGCACAAATGATTGTGAAGACCAGTGAACGATAATCGCAGTTGTCCTGACTAGAGCACGGAAGAGAGGTTACCCTAACGATTCCGTCTTGGGTTTGAGGGATGCACAGATGTATACTTACAGGTACTGAGAAAAACATGCATACATTGCACAGCGAATAACGGAAGCTTAGGATGAGAAAACGAGGGTAATGTAGTACGCAAACCTAGTAACAGATATCTCAATTTATATTTCCCTCGTGAATGTGGCTTCACCAGCGACTTGAGCATTAGGTCACGTATGTAGGAATTATTCTGAACGGTAAACTGTGCTTCAATTTTGTGATGTCGTTATAGTGAAAGGGCTGCAGATCGTAGTGAACCCGATTTATTTAATTCTGTGGTCACACGTACGTCGCAATTAGTTGGCGTTGAGATTCTGTGATTTGGTTACGAAAATTACCCCAAGGTTGGTAGGTGTAAATTTATAGACATAAGAAACGGAAATAACGTACTGTCCATTGCATAGATGATGAGTGTTATCCCTCTGCCAAGCAGCTCAGATCCGAGTTGAACCGAAATGCCAATTCACGTTTGTACAGGTGTCATCTTCAGTGAAAGTCAATCAGTTCCAGCCTGACAGCAACGAAGAAAGACGTTGTTGACTATTTGTTGATTCCAGTCGATAGTTTCCCGCCGAATCAGATTTTCATGCGGGTTACCGGCTGGACGGTCAATTGGAAGAGTTGATGAATGTGCGTGAAAGTGAAGTCTGAAGAATGGTCAGTTCTGATCAATCAATGAGTGAATGAATGAATGAATAAATCAATCAATCAATCAACCATTAATTCATTAATCCATTAATTAATTAATCGGCTTGTGTTGGACCCATTGGACTAAGGTTCGAGCTCCGACAACGCCACCCAACTTTGTTCGTAGGCAGCTTTGCAAACGTCCTGTTTTATACCACGCCTAACCTAGCGGGGCATTATGTGGCTCACCAATCCAAGTCCCGGCTTCCATTACTGAACAGCAAGCATATCCTGGTGCCTATGGGGACTTGCGGTCTGCTGTTCATCACACTAAAGGATGTAATAAAAAGGTCAGTCAATTGATCAAAGTCCGCCATCGTGCGCGTATTATTAACAAACATGTGCTGTACTCTGCAGTAAATCTGTAAGACGTTGCTCAGGCATTCAGATAACGTAATTTAGCCACATAAGACGTTGCTGTGAGATTATTTTGTTCAAAGAAAGAAATTCGTATCCTAGCATCCGTCGTCTGACCTCGTCGATCTTCACGAGATGCTCTCACCATACGCGGGCGATGTTGCGCTGATAGCGGTTGTCACAGACGAATAGTTGTTGGACGTGATCTGCTCAGAGAGGCCAGGTTTCGCAGCCATGGGGCAATAAAGTGTGTACAGTTGCGCAATACATACGTCCTTTCGGTGAAACGAATATGTCGCGCCGGTAACGGAGATGTCGCAGATTAGCTTTGATCACGCGTTGAGAGATCACTTTGTAGCGAATCTAATCCCACCAGTTTTTGAATCTTTACATAGGAAGTCAGACTTTTAAGCGGTGTTTACCGCGACTGAATTCAAAGAGATAACGGCGTTATTTGGGAGATACTGTAGGATCGGTTGTACGAATGTACTGATGCGGAAAATGACGTGAATTATTTTGCAAAACAAGCCACCAGCACGGACATGGTTTTCAGTTATGTACACACACAGTGGTCGTGGTAACATTCTACGGGGCTTCATTTTTTTACTTTCTGAGAGAGCTTCATACGGTTGTTTCGGATTTGTAGATTCGTTTCGACTAAATACCTCCATACTGTGTACCATTTGGGCTACTTCTAATGTCATTTTTAATTGGCCTTAGAATCAATAAGACCGGTTGAGAAAGCCAGAGCAATTTACTATGTACTTCAAAAAATGAAACCAGCAAGTGGGATCTATACTAAGCCAGAACAATATAGACTTGATCATAATTTTGCCAATTTTAAATTCCTCAAAATGTCCTATCGTCCTTTCTTCTCAGTCGTAACAAACCAAACGAAGCGTTACGCCATCTTGTGACGCAATACCTGTTACCAAATGTGTGCAAAACTTCAAGTCCTTTGTACGAAGATGGAAGAAAATCCAGAGAAGTTTTGTTATTTATCGAACCGGTTTACAATGTGTATCGCTTCCAAGCTGAACTGCATAAACAGGTGAGATTTTTATCTTGCTGTGTTGGCTGATTAAATGGTCCAAATGGATAAATTAATTGATAAAACGTCCTACTACTCATAAGTAACGATAGTTTTATGGTAAATTCGGGTATTGTGAAAATCGAACAAAAAGAGTTTCTTGACCGAGCATAGGAATGGTAAGACTGGGATTTTCAAGAATTTACATTTTTAAGAACTGATCCTGTTTGCGATTATGAGCAGTTCGGAAAAATGAAATCACAAACTTTATCCGTGTAAGCGAAATTATACGTAATTTTCCTCAGAGCAAGCAGGAGAATTATAATCACGAATTGGGTTAAATTCAACCACTTTGGGTTAATCTCATGATTTATGTGAACATCGAGTGAGATCACTTTTGGTTGAGGCAGTAACGGGTTTGGGCACATACGATGACTTACTGCGAAGAGAAATCAATTAATCGATCAAACAATCAATCAAAGGGGGAGAAGCAAAGGCCACAATCCGACTTGGGCATAGGATCGGGGAGTGTAGCCAGTGCAATGACAGCGCTCAGCATACCATTCATTCATTTGGTTTACATAGGTCGGTTTTGTTACGTTTGATGGCATCTGCCTCGGCGAACCGTAGTAAAATTTGCTTTGTTCTTTATATCAACACACAAAAAGCATTTATTGAGCTCACCGAACAGTTATTTTAGAACAATCCATCAAGGAGGAGTTACGCCAGAGGCATAAAGATGGCTGAATCCACAGTTACATACCTACTTAAACCATCCCCGAAACGGTCGGAGACCTTGTGGACGCGGGAATCTCTATGATTTAAGCTTTACATCAGCAGCCAGCGTAATGGTGATCGAAATGCTTTCAAACGATGACACAATTTCCTTAACTAAGCTGTGAAACATTCGGTACATCCCATTGCACCTGTTCGCCGAAATAGACATTTTGTGTACAAACGTTTCATCACCAGCTGAGATGACACTATCAATGCTTGTGAAGTGTTCTGCTTATGCCCGTTTATTGATACGCGTTGTTCTCCATCGAATATATTTCGTCCCTTGTTCTCTTTGTGTTTGACTCGCTTCGCCGTTCAACTGATGCAAGGCGATTGGGGTAGGATTAGGTCTGTTCTTCCGGCTGGGTTGCGATTTCAGTCCGTTTTCAGTTACTGAGGTGACTTCTTATTGTTTAATTTGATCCTTGCGTTCATTTCGCACGTACCCGTCATCCAGTTCGATGTGCCTGTTTAGCAAAGAGTTGATCGAAGAGTGCCAAGCTTCGAGAAATTCTCTGGCGTTTTATGATCAGGTTTTGGCGCTGACTTTCATTTATTCAAAGTCAAACTGATGTCCTTCTTAATCTTGGTTGAGAAATAAGATCAATAGTGGATCATGCCTTCTGACTGCCAACTGATAATCACGGATCGTTGGTGATGGCTTCCTTTCAGTTTTTATGATAATGTGTTTTGGTCATTTCTTGTGGATTGATACTATTGATACTATTCTTTTTTTCGCATTTGGTTTTGAAAGAAGGCGCTCAGTCCACGGGCGAATCGGATTTCGTACGATCTGAGAAGTCTTGTTGTAATTTACGAAAGCTCCTGGTGTATGGTAGGCTCTTTCTTCATCTCTATTATCCGAATGTTTTTTGCTTCCATCTTTGAGTCGGAGTTTTTGTTGAAGTAGACGTTGCAAGAAATATTCTGAGGGGTTATCTTCTTTCTTCTTCTTGAGTATGTCGATGCTGCAATTCGTTGGGATTCTTCGGAACAAGGGGTCCCAAAAGCACGTATTTTGCAATGTTGCACAAAAGTTGTCACCGTTCAATGCTGAGCGATGCACTTGATCATTGTTGCAAGGTGACATACGCATTGAATTGTGTATTTGTGGTGTTTTGGCGGTGAAAAGTGAATCTACTGTCATCTAATACGGGGTTTCATTTTTCCAATTTGAATTTTTTTCAGCCGGATAGACCTCCGTCCACCATCACAATGCGCCACTTCACTGTCATGATGAAAGTGAGTAAATTTGACCCTCTAGTTCTTTAAACGTTTGCACCTCAACAAACGCGAAACACTAGGGGGAGGGGGGGATTTGATTCGTCTTTACTTTATGCTTATTGCACCCTCCGGTAACCTTGTCATTTCTAATCTTCTGTGCTAATTGTCGCACACGTCTGCATGGGTCATGCGATTTACAGTGCGAATCAGTTTGAGACAATCGACGTACGACTATGGTGTCTGTAACGAATACGAACAGAGCACGATTTCTCCGCTGAAATCCGACAGTTGTGCGTTCGGCCTGGCATTTGAAACAACGTTGCAAACTGTGGAGCTTAAACGGTCCAGACACGACAATTGAACAGGGATAAATCGATACTCGTAGAGAACAGTGAAGGGTGATCAGTCCTAATCGAAACGGGAAGCAAACCACCCGTACACAATGTTAATCAACGGTAACTATGATATACGTGCCACTTACCGCACAGGTGTAAACAGTCTCCAAATTGAATTATAAAAGTCTCCAGTCATGACTGTGAACTCAGTGTACGTTACCTAAATCCAATAAAACGGGATTTTTCCCAAACGTGTTTCTCTTTAACAGGGCCGTTGTAAGTGAACTATCATCATGGCTGACATTTGTATCTTGCATGGATTAGTTTGTCAGTCGCGTCTGAACTGTGTCAATGCAACCGCTATAAACAATGCCATCGAACAAGAAGAAATGGAGAAAGTAATCTGCTCTTTTGATGCACATTTGACCGACGAACTATCGTCGTGCAGACACCTGTTGCTGAATTGATGGATCGCCTGATGTTGCTTGTTATTCTCTTGCATATCCGTGCACATCATTAGAACCTATTCTATGACAGGGTTGTTCTCAGCCAATTATGTCTGCATTGAGCGGTTAGCGCTCATTGATTCATTGTCGGCTTGATCACCTTGATCGTTCGCCTGTCCTTGCACACACTTTCCACTCTTGTGAAACGATTGTCCGTCGACGCCTTACTTGCTCGCTGACCTGCAGATCGGCTACGTGTGTGTATACA